TGTTATGATACTGTACATGAAGTCATCCGCCCCCGGACGTTTCCGCCGTCCAGGTTCGGGGGTGTGACATATAGTTTTATTAATGATGAAACTACAATACAATATTTTACAAAATAGCTGGTAAAACCAGGTACCTACAATTATAGAGTTTTATACAAGTACAAATACATAATACTATTCCGGTACAGAGAAAACATACTTTTCATGGTTTTATGGGAATTAAAACTACATTATACTATCTCAGGATACAATAACTTTTACATGTTTTGGTCTTCGAGTGTATTAAGACTACCGTATTTTACAACAGGAAATATAGGATTTTCTGGGAAAACCTACTTATATTTGCAAGGAACAAATGACAGATTTCAATTACAAACTTAAATGTTGATACACTTTTAAAATCACTTGTATTCTCAGGGAACCAGTAGATAGGTACACCCACAGGTTTTGAGAAGACAGAGCTTTGTAGAGTCGCATCTTTTATACTTTTGCTATACACTTTTGATGTCATACAAATTATGTTATGAACAGATGTAGAAACAATACTTTATCAATGTAATGGTTGTGTTTGCTTTGATTACTATTATACAATTGTTGTGATACTGTACATGATGTCCTCCGCCCTCGAACGTTTCCGCCGTTCCGGTTTGGGGGTGTGACAAGTATTATAGTCTTACCTGATAATGAAACAAGATTTATAAAGGATGCTTAGTTCGAGTTAAATTAAAAGAGTGTTTAGTTACACCCTATATTGTAAAAATATTACATAGGCAGGAAATTGTGTTTATTACAGGATTTGTAATCTTGTCTAGTTATACACTAGGACTTAAAGGGGATGCTTAGTTCAGTTAAGTTTAGATATTGTGTAGCATCATAGTAAGGGTGTGTGTGATAGGAACGAAGAGTATAAATTTGTTCTATGACACTATCAGGTGTTGATGGTATGAAATATGTATCGGAGTACGATAAAGTATTCCTTTGGACGACTAGAAATGGTGGGTCCGTATCATGCAACTGTAACGGTATGTCTGGTCATCTCCCAGAGTAAGATGACAACCCTTGATCATTCTAGACGGTATTGTGAATTACATTGCTAGTGTGGGATCATAACCCACATACATAGATGAAATGAGATACCATATTCATTAAATACTATGTTGGATCGAGTCCCTTTATGACTTACACTGGTCGCGGAAGCCCCTAACTGTGTAGTCAAACCCTTTCTTTAAAATGGTTTATCTTTCTGACAATCGTGGACTAGGATCTGTGAGCATCGGTTGGGATGGGTATGATTGGTTTATAGGTTTCTAAGTTTGAGATATATTCTTTGGTAACAGTTTGTTTGCATGTTTGATAGCTTAGGAATATTATAATTTTATAGGATTGAAATCCCTATGTATTTCACCAGGTTTCCCAACTTGACCCATTCAGTTTGTATGCATCACATGTATCAAGACTTAAGCTACCGGAACTTGATTAGGATGTCGAATGATTAAGAGACAACTTGCAATGGTATTCAGGATCATTAGGTATTTACGATGTAACTTATGTATCTGTATTGCTTATGACATCCTTAGGATTTTCTTTGAGGCAATCTTGTTCTCAAAAAGAGTTTATATACTGGGATTTTACGCAAATGAAGTATCGTGATTTTTAAAGTGTAAAAAAAGTTCTTTTTGGTTCTGAAGATTAGAGGATGTCACACCTACCGAAAAGACAACCAACCCAATTTACTTGTTAAAGAAACATTGCTATTTTTCTTCGTAATCATAATATCCATGTACGTTTCTTGATCTTGATAAATTTACCTACTTACCCTTATCTACCTAATCCTAATTCAAATCATATACCTATACACTTAATCCTTAAATCTCACGGTTATATAATCCTATCTCACATTCTATTTAAAGGAATCTCACACCCAAACCAATTTAAAAAGACTTAAACCCTCCTAACCCATTACCACATCCTAATTTTTCCATGGTAACTTTGATAATTTTTACATCCTTGCTCCCATCTTGTGGCTGACTTTTGGGGGTAGTTTCTATGGTTCTATGTCCTAGGAGTCTCTCTGGTAACATGATTTGAGAATTTAAGCACCAAAATCATCAAGTGTTTCGTCATCATCATGTCATACATGGTATCTAACACTTCAATGGTACTTTTAGTTAGGACCTTAGACACCTTAATCCAACACTCCATACATCCTAATTAACGAGATTTTGATGAGGACGTTCGTTTACTTTTCCCTTGGGTTGATACGCAATCATCAAGTGCATCTCTAATTTGTATTGGGCTGTTGAAGCATCAACGATAGAGAAAAAAATGAACATGAAGGAGAAGGGGGAGGAATGATCGCAAGACAAGAGAGGGTGAAGTCGACGAGAATTTTTATGGGTGCTTGGTGGCTGCAAAAATCAACCATATAACATGGTAAGTTCTTGGTATTATTCCCTCATGTACTCCTACTTCAATTTTTAGCGAAATTAATTGGAATTGTAGGTCAATTGCTTCCCATTTGGTGTCAAAAAGATCTTGCTTTCTTACACTTCAATTCTAATTATTTCTTATGAGTAATTTTCTACATCAAAGGCCATGTTTGAACCACTCTGAAGGTTCTTAAAACACACTCTAAGTGCAAAATGTATAAGTAATTAAAAATATGAGAAAAGGATTTTTGAATAATCTTAAGAAAAAAATATAATAACACCACTTGTCCCATGAATGGCGCCAAATTGTTTCGGTCAAAAATTGCTAAGCTAATATCGTAACCAAATTAGTAAGTGTGGTGTGATATTTAGAATAAGATATTTAATTCTAAAATGGTTAAGGTATTGAAATGTACTAAATATCTTGGTCGTACCCAAGATCCTGAGAAGTACACAGTGATATTTAGAAAATTGTTTAATAATGCTAATCTATTTCAAAATATAAACGTGTGTATTTGAAGTAATTGAGACAATTATAATGTTAAAGTTGTTAAATAGATGAATTTGCACAATCAATCTTAAGATATTTAAAAGCGACACGATAGAATACCTTGATATTTTAGCTGTAAAGAGGTAAAAGATTGAAAAAATTAATTTTTTTGACCGTTGTTAAACGGTTCAAAATATGAACGTTGGAATTGTTTTCGATCAAAATTAACCCGTTTGCACACGTTATCACCACAACGCGCTTTACCATAACGCGGTATAACAGCTAGGGGGGGGGTGGTGTTTGCGCCGTTATACCAGCGTTTTATTGGCGCCACGTCAGAATAACGGGAGAACCCGTTGCCCACTCCTAGCCGTCTTAAAGAGTCGCATAAATCATGTACATGTTGCATTTATTCATTCATAAGGGTTATAAGGGCTATGGAGGAATAAACAAAGCATGGTCCAAACAATTTGACAATATACAAGTAAAGGGAAGTTCTACTGGAATTTATTTTAAAAGGTCATCACATAATGAGTCTCATCAGTCTTGCAAGCCCTTGTGGAACGTGTGGTTGTGTTTTAAATGCTACCTACTATTCGGTAGTTAACTCCACCATCAATCCTATATGACATTTGTTTGTCGTGTATGCTTTTGTGTTATCATACAAGCATGTTCTTGGGGAAACCATTATCTTAAGGAAAATATGACTTTCACGAGTTGAATTGGTATTTAGATATGTAAGTCAACATCATGCATTGCATTATACCTTTTTTTTTTATCTTGTGAACGAATATTATTTAATACTTGAGTCTATATGTAATGTTTTTCTACTCGGCAAAGTTGGATGTGTGTTTTGTTGCTTCTTTTACATTGTGCAACATATGCAATATGATACCATTGCCACCTTATAAACATTGTAAAGTGCTCTAAGAGTGTTCCAATATATGTATTTACCAACAATTTTTTCTTTGTGTGACCCAATAAGTTTAGATAACGTTGATAGATAACATTGATAGTAACATCAATATGTTATACATATGCACATACTCAACACTGATTATGGTTTGCCAACCAAGCTATGTGAAATAATTACAATTTCTTATGTATAATTATTAAATGAAACAAATTAAATAGTGGAAGAAATGATGAAAGAAAAAGGAACCAGAAGGCCCAAAACCATCATGAATATCACTTCTAGAAAAACCATGAATCGTTATTTACCCTTGAGTTTAATGGGATACATTGCCTATGAGCTAACATCATGTTTGCTTCAGAAAAATAAGGAAATGAACTCAATAAATTAGGAAACATTGACCATAGAGTTTGGAGTTAAAAAATAACGAGACCCTTATTAGAACCTTTCTTTAATGAAAGCGATATTCTTAAAATAAAAAAGAACATATTATTGATCAAGGGAACTTTGTCAGTTTCAAATAATTGACACTTTTATATTTTTCACACTAAAATGATCCATAAACGTGTTTATGTAACAAAATGTTATACCTGATTTTGTGAATTGACATAAATGTATGTAAAAATCCCATAACGACTTTATTGATCATTTATATACCCAAAGAAACATATAATACATAATCTTATGATCATAAGTTGATATAAATTGAAATCAATGTAACAATATTTTATTCAAAACTATCACTTTACAAAAGCATCCTAGTTTTCCCATAACGACTTTATTGATCATTTATATACCCAAAGAAGCATATAATACATAATCTTATGATCATAAGTCTATATAGATTGAAATCAATGTAATAATATTTTATTTAAAACTATCACTAGTGGCATAGAAAGTTAGAAAGTATGTATATGAGGTTCCATATAAATAATGTGACAAACTTTTGTAATTGATAAAACATAAATATATTAAAATATATAGTATTTAGTATTAGATAATGGAAAATGTTTTGGGTGTTTGTGGCATGTCTCAAAAGTAATGTGCGAAAAAGCGACGATCCGAAGAAGACAAACATTTGGGAATGGTGATTCATCATTAAAAGAAAAAAAAGTAATGTTCTTTTTCCCAATTTCTTCTTAATATATATATGCAACTGATGTAACCCCTCTTCTTTCTCTCTCTCAAGGGTCGATCTTCGGAGTTGAATTCAATGATTTAATACTCTTCCAACAGGTAATTTCTTCTCTAAACTCGATACTTTCAGCTTCTTTCTTTTGATTATTTTAAGCTCTTGTTTTTTAATCAAAGTCAAATCTTGGATTTTCATGGCTACAATCAGCTGAATTCGCAGAAGGGTAAAAAAAAACAAGGAGAGAAAAATCAAAAAGCCCTTTTGGTGATACTGTCAGTCGGTGAGTCGTCGATCGACAACATCATCATCATGACTCTTGTTGAGAATGTTGCGTCGAACAATCGGGTCGAATCAGGCGATGTTGATCAGTCGAAATCATCGATTTCGATTTCCAGTTTTCATCAGCAGAAGAAGATGATACCTAATGGAAATGGCAACGGAAACGGAAACGGAAACACCGTTCTAAATCATCATCATCATCACCATCATCAGATGAAGGTAAACGGTGTCGATCATCATGATCATGAGGAAGAGGGTTTTAAGAAAGAAATGAGGGATTTGGCTGAAATGTTGTCGAAATTGAATCCCATGGCTGAAGAATTCGTTCCCCCTTCACTCACCAACAACAATTACACCGGAGCTCTAATTCTTCCCCCATCTGGTGCTGCTGCTGCTCACTTCGGTTATTCTGTCGTCAACGATTTCCTCCTTCAAACTAACCAAACCCCTTTTCCCAACATCAATGGCGTTTCCACCAGAAGGGTATGTCTTTTCTCTTTTGTCTTCTCATCTTCTCTTTTCATCGATGATAATTTCCAAAACGAACACCTCTTCTGAGTTTCTTATGTTAATGGTTAGAAGAAGGGTAACTTTACTCATGGGAAACGAAGGATGAATAACAGAACCACCATGGCACAACGAGAAGATGTGATTAGGAGAACTGTTCATGTCTCTGACATCGATCAACAGGTTAAGATCCTTAATTCCTTATCTTCTTTGAATTTTTTTCACAAATCTATCCAATCTTTCAAACCTTATTCTGTTTAACATGAATTCAGGTAACTGAAGAACAACTTGCTGCTCTCTTTATCACTTGTGGACAGGTAAACACTAAACACTAAACCCTAAATACATCAACCAAATCATCATAATTTCTTTGTTTATATCATTATCATGATTTATGACTCCTTGATTCTTAACTCAACTGTTTACTTTAATAGGTTGTGGATTGTCGTATATGTGGAGACCCTAATTCTGTTCTTCGTTTCGCCTTTATTGAGTTTACTAATGAAGGTATGCTAATTCTCTAATATATCAAATCTCTGATTTATTTTAACATTTTTTTTTATTATGTGTTTGCAGAAGGAGCAAGAAATGCATTGAATCTTGCTGGAACTATGCTTGGGTATTACCCAGTTAGGGTTCTTCCTTCAAAAACTGCAATTGCACCAGTGAATCCCACTTTTTTACCTCGAGTAAGTTTCTTTTACTTTTGGAGAAAACTATGATTATGAATGTGTTTTTTACTGTGTGTGTGTTTTGACATCATTATCTTTGTGTTATTTTAGTCTGAAGATGAAAGGGAAATGTGTGCAAGAACTATCTATTGTACTAACATTGATAAGAAGGTAATTTAAGATTGTATTTACTTTTCATGAATATAAGTATAGGGGCATATGTGTAATTTTCTATTTTGTATAAACCAGGTTACTCAGGCAGATGTTAAGCTCTTTTTTGAGTCATTTTGTGGAGAGGTTTGTAGTTGTTAATTTGTTAATTTGTTAATTTGTTAATTCATAATTTCATTTACAATATTTAAAAAACGATTTTGTAACGTTAATTGTTTATTAATTATATCGTATTGAAATTAATGTTTTATAGGTTTATCGTTTGAGGTTGCTAGGAGACTATCATCATTCAACTCGTATCGCATTTGTGGAGTTTGTGATGGTGATTTTTTCTAATCTTTTTATTTCCTTTTTTCTTGCTTAAAATGTGAAATTCCAATAATACCCCAAAAAACGTGGCTTAATGTATTAAGTCACCAACCGATTTTACTTATTTGCCCTTTTAATTTTACAGGCAGAAAGTGCAATTACAGCGCTCAACTGTAGTGGTGCAGTATTGGGATCACTTCCCATAAGGTGATTGATTGATTGATTAATAATCAAAAAAATTATGTTTTTTGTTTTTCATTAAATCAAAAAAATGTTTTTTTTTTTTTTCTTTTATTTATGAGTTTTATGTTTGGTTTGATGTAGGGTGAGCCCTTCAAAGACTCCAGTTCGCCCACGTGCACCTCGCCCTACCATGCACTAAATAGTAATTTCACAAAATATCTAAAAATATACGCGACAAGTGAGAACTTGGAGATGAAAGTGTTATATGTTTCTTCTTTTTCTTATGGTGTTTGTTTTAATGCATTCGAGGTTCAAGTTACCTATTTGAAATGTAGATTTAGAATATGGAAGTTTGAGACTATTTTATTTTCAGATGTTTTTGGTATGAAAAATTGTTGTTTTTAACAAGTTAAATTTGCTTGCTTTTTATTATTTCTGTGTTTCTTGGATCATCTGGGACAAAAATGGATACCCTTGGTTTTTTTAATTTAGTTTACAAAAAAAGGAAACCAATAGGGTACACAAAATGACAAAAACGAAAATTACAATATGTTCATAATTTGATATGTTGTTTTGATTCTTGACCCATAAATTTATAAGAAGGAAATTATACAAAAATATAAAATTTCTTATATTTGATACGATTGATTCTTTGTATTAAAGTTGATGTTATGTTTGTTTTAGATATTGACAACCCAACTTGATAACCAAAAAATTTCGACCCATTTAATCTTACATATGATAACCAAAAAATTTCGACCCATTAATCTTGTTATTGTATTATCAGTAACTTTTTTATTAAAAAAAATGACAAATGGTTTTTCAAGTAAATGACAAAATATGTAACTTTTATTTTTTTTTTTAAATTTGCCATATTATATATGGATTAGATAACATGTGAAAACAAGTAATATAAGTTTATAAACACATTTTACTTTATTGATGATATTATAGAAGAAGACAAGATAGGCTCAGAAGGATATACATTGCAAAGGTAATGGAGCCATATTACACCGTACCAAACAGTATAGAGGGGACATCCCGACAAACTGCATTAGCAAAACCGTGTCCCACCACCTGTATCTGTACGAGGTCAGATTTGGACACACCTCATAAATACCAAAGCTGATACTCCAATCAGAGTGTATGGATTAGCATAAGCTTGCACATGTTGGGAAAATGGTTTATCCTATTCTAGGGAAATGAGTTTTGCCTATTTTGGTTGTGTAATTAAGAACCAATTAGAATATAATGTAGGTTATGATCTTTTATGTATAATTTGTGTTTATGATCTTTTATGTATAATTTGTGTTTGATATTAACTTAATTTTCGGTTTTGGAATCAAGTTCTGGTTTTGGTTTCGTATTTAAGATCGAAATCATATATAGTGTCGGTTATGATATTGTGTTTAATTTTCGGTTAGGATTTGTGCTTAGTACTGGATTAATTTTTTTGGTTACAACGATGATATATAAATACAAGTTTTCTTAGACATGACACACTGAAAATAAACTACTTTCTCTTTTCTCCAAAGTTACTATGAAACTTTCATGTTATCGTATTATGTAAGATTATACTTATTGAGTTTCGGTGGTTTTCTTGGAGTTGTATCATGGGAAACAAGCGCAGAATGAAGGTCATATTTGTTTTAAGAAAATCGTGTTAAACACAGACTTCCGTTCATCCCAAACAATGAACACATACATAGAAGGTAAGAGTTAACACTTACCATTATGTGGTCTTAACTTATGTTTCTATTTTTGTTGAGGTTAGACAAATCACATTTATTTTTAGTTTCTTTAATTATCGAGTTTAAAATGAAGGAACGAAAAAAATTCCAACTTTATATTTTACTTCTATGAAAAAAGCAGGTCTAATGAACACAAAATAGAAAACCGCCCACTAAGTGTCTTAATGTTGGAAAATGTAAAACACGAAAGTTGTGAACACATGTCTTAGGTTTATGTAGAACTTTGCATCCCTTCATTATGATATTGTATAAATTTTATACGATGTTTAACACAATGATGCTTAGCTGATTAGGAAACAAACTATATGTTTAACACAATAGTGCTTAGTTGAATAGGAAACAAACTATCTACCGTTAAACCTAAATTTTGACCTATAATAGTTATGTATCTTGAAAAACCCAAAACTTGAAAACTCTAAATCTATACGATAGCTTTCCACAAATACTTGGAATAATATTGGTATGACATTGTACATGTTTATATTGAATTTTACAAAAGGGTAAGTCATCAAAAGCATACAAAGGAAAAAGAAAGCCCTCCCACGAGAAGGGTATGGAAAAGTGCAAACATAGACTTTGTAGCCATTATTTCTAAAGGGAGCCTAGTGACTTCAAACTCGAGAACGGTGGTATGTCATCGTAGCCACCTATCGATTATGTTTAGATAAAGTCTCTTTGTTACAAACATATATGTGAAAACGGAGACAAGGTATTCATGAGCAATTCTGACGTGGCTAAGATCAATAGTTAAAGGGTTGTGATTCTGAAAATGACATATAGGAAAGATCTTAAGCTAATCAATATTTTGTAACTTACAGAAAGTCGCAATAAATTGGTGTCCGAATGAATACTTGGTATGTTTAGATCATAGTATGATTGAGTTAAATAAAATTATGACATCTGAAGCGGGGCCCCGCCTTCCATATCAAGATAGCGCCATAATCTCATCCAACCGATTCATAAGCAAAGATACATGCAATACTAAACAAATCATTTAAAACTAGCGAAAATAACAAAGATAATCCTTAATAAACATTAAACTCATGATGTACTTAGTACCTTGGATATAAACAATATTATCCAAGGTACCTATAACATCATTACTTGTTACAAACACCTCCTATAAAATCCATCTAAGAACAACCTCCCAAGGAAAGAAGAAGAGAGTTCATAGCAATACATATACACATCTCTCAGACACTCGTATACTATCCTTTTAATATATAATTAACTTGTCCTAACCCTAACTGGCATCAAAGAGTATTACTGAGAGCATCCTGGTAATATGCCTGACCTTATTTGCTTATATATCTAAAGTTCTACGATTATTCTAATAAAGGTTATTCCAAAATCATCCCACCGAAGAACAATATATCGTCACTTGCGTCATCCGTATTCCAAACTGATAAAGAACACTACAATCTGGCAAAAAAATAACACTACAAACAAAACTCAACTAGGTATATTGTTCAGCCCAAAAAAAACATGATGCCAGTTTATATCCAAACACATGGCACCATTACCAACCACAAACCGAGGTCAAATAGTCCAGACCTAAAAATGTGAAAGGAACCAAGTATGAAAAAACCCAGAAGGTGACGAGCGAAATACACCAACAAGAAACACTATAAATGTCCATGGTGACCTAGAAATGAGCCAACACCCAAGACAATCATCCATACTAGTCGAAACATCTGAACGTATGAGTATAAGATCCAGGGGACTACCATGTAGTCACCAAGAACACCTGGGAGACAACAAGCCCATAGAATGACAGGTACAATTACACCCATACCTATGTTATATCTTAACATGATACGACCTACATATGAGCTACACCAACCAAATAATGTTGAATCGTACATCCCAATGGGTGGCTTTCCATTTACCCCAAATACCAAACTATCTAACATCAATGGAACCAAACGGATAATGTACCTAGTCAAGTCTCCAACCCTACCATGATACCTTAAACCTCTTGGCAACCGTTGCCAACTCTTGTACCAAATCCAGGTAGCTTGGGGAACATGACTTCACCACATGTTCAAATACGATGTTCAGACAGGTCACCACTTGTAAGAAGCATTCGGGAATACCAACTTTCTCAAGGCGCCAACCTTCATAAAATAAAAAATACGACGGAAGCATTGAACCTAATGATCACATTGAAATTTATAGACCGGAAATGGATGCATATTACATAGACGAAAAGTATTGGTGAATTTTCTTCCCAACAACCTTATACAGACCGGCACGAGCACGACTAAGGTATAAAAGTCTTCCCACAGAAAACATTGAAACTTTAACCAGCTAAGAAAAGAACTTGTGAGCCACTCCATACCTTAACAAAAATATACAACATACATACAATCCATATTGGGATGCCGAAAAAAGGAGTACGAAAAAAAAAATACAAGCATACATGAATAGATTCAACTAAGAAACACTAAAAGCTTCAAAAATGACATACAACATGGTGATTGCAACATTCATCTAAGGCCTCCATCCTAGGCCTTTCTTCAAAAAAACTAATCGGGATGTCATACATTTCCATAAAAGAACTCATTGGCCAAGTTTATAGGTTCACGAAATAAAAAGAGGCAACAATAGAGAAATTAAAAGGATATATATAAGGAAAAGCTCCACATCTCCTACACGAGAGTACAAACTAACTTTCTGAAAGAACAGAGAACTTGTTCGTATACGACGACATGTACATAAAGGATTGAGGTTCACATAGATCAATTGAGACAAGGTTTTTGACTATGTTTTTGGTTGAATGACATAAATGAGAAATTGATGTCATCATAACGTGTGAGATTCGCCAACATTGTAATGAGATTGACATGGTAGAAAATGTTTTGCGCCGAAAAGAACGTACCAAACCCCATTGAGTACGAATATTAACTATGAATATCCATTCATAACCTACATCTCAAATCCAAGAAGTTTAACTCGAGACTCTGAGAGAGGAAAGGCTTCACGAGTGAAGCTCTGTGAAGATTGGATAATCGGGTCAAGCTCAAGATGACGGGACGCGGTACTTTATGAACCAAATTTTTATGCCTAAGTACAGTGAACACAAGAGCATAGTCTTGGAAAAAGCTCACAGACTACAATGTCCCATCGATCTAGGCTTCTGACCTAATGTGCTTATATCTAAAGAAACGGAAATGGTGAACATGTGTGAAAGCAAAGATTACCATTTGAGTGGACAAATAACAAGCTTGTACCAAATGCTGAATGTCAGAAACACTCAGGACTAGGGTAATGATAAAGAAATACCCAAGTAAAAGTGGGAACCAACTTCAATGGACTCCATACCAAAGCTACCAATGAAACATAGTGATTTCAATCTTATTCAGGTAGTGGTCCATATATTTACTAAGTCCACCGAATTACCTCTAATCTAAGAACCATGTGAAATGGAAAGTCCGACCAAAACTTGCCAAAGAAATCGTCAGACTGCACGAGGTGTCGATCTCTATCATCTCTCGTTAAGATGGTGGATTCATCTAGCAATTATGACAATAATTGAAATCCTTGAGTGCGTGCTTAGGCATTAACATAGTTATTCATCCCCAATGGTTAGATCGAATGAACCATCTCGACATGAGTAATATGCTTTGAAAATGTATGATGGAATTGAATATTT